TTTTTTTTGGTGGAGGCGACGGGCATTTTTGTTTTGTTTTGTTTTGTTTTTTCTGTTTTTTTTTGTTTTTTGTCTTTTTTTTTGCAATGAAATTCCATTCGAGGCCGGGTAAGTAGTGGGGCCATTACCCAGCTTCGGCTTTTGCTGGAAATGGGGTCCACCCATCGCAAATCCCACTTTGGCCAAAGTCAAGGAAGCCTGAACTGAGTAGACAGGTTTCCCACAGCACACCCTTCCATCCAAAATAAAGCAACAATCAACCAATAAAGATCACCGTGGGTACAGTCCATGTCTGCTTCCTAACCATTCTTATGCTATCTACAAGCTGATAGCGGTCCCACCACTAAAATTTTGCCTCAGGCTGGTATGGCCCACCTGCTGGTGGCTGCAGCTCCCGCATGTTCCCTCGTTGAAGACTTGAGCACGGATGTGGCTTCAAAAAAAAAAGAAAGAAACAAAGTGCTAATATGGCGACTGGTTGACGGGCGGGCTGCCCCAAGTTCCTTCTGAACTGCAAAGATGGGAAAGAGAAACGAAAGAAAAACAACAAACAACCAATTTCTCTAAATTCCTACTACAAAGCATGTGGAGTATGGTAGTGTGTGCGTTCTGATGTGCGTTTTTCTCCGTTGTTCTGCCCTGATATGCATCAGTGCACAACTGAAATCTGTTTTTTTGGTGTTTAACCGATTTCAGTTGTGAGTCTTGCGATTTATTTTCCCATTTCTGATTCGCGGGTATGTCCGGGAATGCCCCGGTTTTTAGCTGGCTTTGTGCCACTGGGTGTATGTGATCTCTGAAGTTTTGGCGTTCCCCCCCCGAGAAATATCTATGTCTCGATCATCTTTGCATAAGGCACACAAAGAGAGAGAGAGAGAGAGAGAGAGAGAGAGAGAGAGAGAGAGAGAGAGAGAGAGAGAGAGAGAGAGAGAGAGAAAGCATGTCGGCGACGAGGTGAAAGACGGAGAGGAGGAGGAGGAGGTCCAACAGATTTATAGAAACAAAAAAGGCGACAGTCTTGACTATCATCGCCGAGAACACTATCAGGTCTATTTATGGACAGTTCGTGAGCATACTTTTTACCCACCTGGTGTAGCGGTACCCCTACGGCCCGGCAGTGAGGCCGGACCAGTTTCAGGCCGTCGGCCTGACCCTGGTCCGGTACCAGGTTATCCCGTACCTGGACCTAGGCCGGTATATCACTTCGGCCTAGGCCCAGGGCGGGAGGTTCATTCATTCAGTTGTTCGTTCGTTCATTGAGCCGGACTGGACCTCCTTCACTCAGCTGCTGCTTCCTGTGTGTGTCCATCTCCTCTCTCTCTCTCTCTCTCT